GGCCTCGTCTGGCCGCCCTGGTTGGTCAGATGCTGGCGATCGTTACCCAGCTTTCCAGAGCGGCAGTTTCAACATGGGGGCGGGGCTAACAGCGGAACTCTTCAATCGATTGGTCAACTTCCAAGATCCCGACACCTCCGAATGGGGCGGGCCCGGTGAGGGGCGGCTCCGATTGGTCAGGTTCGAGGTTTAGGGCTGCGCTGAGTTTGGCAGCGGCAGTTTCAGAGTCTGGTGCGGCGCTGCGGTTCCTGCCAAACGAGCCCAGCAAACCGCGCAGGCGACCGCTACTTTCGTGCTTTGGATCATCGTTCAGGTCATTGTTGAGTGTGTGCTTGGGAGGCAAAGAAGAATGAAGAGAGGTTCCTGCTTGGGGGAGGCAGTGGGTAGGATGGATATGTAAACATCGGCGTCTATAAACCCGTCTGTAAAACGGGAGCAGGTTTATATTGAGTGCCTACCGTGTGCCTGGTCGCTGAGCCAGATAAGTTCTCTATGCCGGTGCATTCTAGCCTCATCTGTAAGTTTTAAGGTGCGTGTCATTGCCCCATTTTACCGAGCAAAAAGGAAAAGCCCGCGAGCTTATAAGGTGAAGTGAGTTTTAGGGTTTTTAAATAATGTTATTTCAGTATATTAACACACAGAAAGACCGTCTCAATATAGGCAGTAAGAAGCGCCACGCATTGGCCCTTTTTCTTATTAGTTGGAAACGGGGTGGGTGGGGTGGGTGCCACAATCTCTTTACCTTGAAGAGACAGTCTGGCATCTGGCAAAATTCAACATTCTTTTCTAATTTTTAAGAAACTTCCAACAAACTAGGAATGGAAAGGGAGGTTCTCATCTTGATAAAAGGCATCCAGGAACCACCTATAGTTAACTTCACACTTCATAATACAAGACTGAATGCTTTCTTGCTAAGATCAGGAAAAGACAAGGATGTCTGCTCTCATCACTTCAGCTCACCATACTAGAGTGCTAGCCAATGCAATAAAGAAAGTTAAAAAAAAAAAAAAGGCACCCAGAAAGGAAGACGTAAAGCTATCACATACAACCTGACAGTAGAAAATCCCTTGGGGTCTATAAAAAATAAAAATAAATAAATAAAAACTATTAGGATTGTGAGTTTTACAAGGTCAATATACAAAAATAATTTTTTTCTATATATTAGAAATAAACAATCAAATTTTTTTAAAACATCATTTATAGCATCAAGAAACATTAAAGTGAAAAACTCAGGGATAAATTTGACAAAGGATGTGTAAGACTTGCACGTTAAAAATTATTGGAGCTAAGACCAGCAGATGGCATAATGGTTATGTCACTGGACTCCCATGTAGTTGACTGTGGTTGGAGTTCTGGACCCTGGGGCTTAAAACTCACACCAGGGGATACCAGTTCAAGCACAGGGCCTTGCTGGATGCTAGGTTGCCTGGCTACAGGGCCTACCCACTAGGACTTGTGGCTCATCCCCCACACCACTCATCTTTGGACTTCAGGTCTGTGTCTTGGGATTTTAAGACAAACTTGCATCCCTCCTTGCCCCATCCAGATACCAGTTAAAGTGAAGAACTTTGCCAGATGCCAGGCTGCCTGTGTCTGCAGGGCCTAAAAGCCTGGACCTGTGACTCATCTCCTCCCCCACTCACCTTTGAACTCTCAGAACTTCAGTATTTTGGATAGTGTGCATCTCTGATCTTTTTTTGTTGCTGTTCTTGAGTTGAAGCTCAGCAGCTCAGTTTCAGGCACACCTGTTCTTTAGAAACAAAGAGGACTTTGGGTCATCCAGGACCAATTACAACACCGCAGGGTGCTGGTGAGCAACAGGGATACCAAGCAGAAGAGGGATTACCAATTTTCTACTCCTGCATACCTCCTTTGAATGCTCAGAGATACCTTGAATAATTTAGGCAGGAACATATAGATCACCAGATGACTAGGAACAGTCATAGAGGCACAAGAAATAGAGCAACCAACAAAATGTCTCTCCCCCAAGGGAAAACATCAATTCTGCGTCACCCACAGAGAACACAATGGAAGTTGGGGAAATGTCAGATAAGCAATTCAGAATATTTGTAGTGACCAAACTAAATGAGATGCAAGAGAA